GGTTTTTTTAATGGCCATTGTAGTACCTTTCAAACTTGTTTCTATATTCTTTTGACATATTCTCATCAGTTTTTGAACTGTTTTTTGCTTTCTGGCACAGCATGTTCTGGTTCCTTGGTCATCATTGTTTTAGACTTAGCCATTTTCCAGGGAACACTAATTAACTTTTAGTGGGCAGTGATAACTAGAAATAAAGGCTGGGTATCAGGTATACATATTGTTACTGGAGTATTTCTATTTCTAGACCTCTTCCAATGGACAGAGCTAAGAAATACATTTTATGAAATAATCATGAGTTATCCTTCTACCTCACCTTCCTCTTTTATGTCTTCTTTCTTCCATGGTAAGAATTCTCTTTTCAACATGCAGTTTTTCTGCTTTTGCATCTTCTCTTTGTTTTTTCCTTTTTGAATGGACTTTTTCCTCCTCTGTCTTTCTGGATTCATACAAGCTAATCTCTCCTTCTAGTGTACCACCTTAGTACTCTGTCCTGCATAAGCTGTTACATTTACTTCAGTGTATTTAAATTACTGTTTACGTTCAATTAGATCCAGTTTCTTGAGGTCAGAAATGGTTTGATGTTTGGTCCAGCATATGGCACTTCATAGATTTTCAGTGTTACTAAAACGCAAGGTGGCTTGGGAGAGAATGAGCTAATTAACCTGTGTCTATATATTCTGAATCCCTTTTTTCTTTCCTAATAGAAGGAGCACTGGTGGTGTACTGCCTCATCTGTTGGGCTGTTAACTGAAAAATCAGCAGTTCTAATTCACCAGCAGTCTGAGGGAGTAACATTGGCCATTTTCTCCCAAATTTAGAGTAAATCTCTTTTCAATATTTAGAGCATTGGAAACACAATGAATGGTTACTATGAGTCAGAATGAACTTGATAATACTGGGCTTGTATTTTCCGCCTGTTTTAATTCTAAAATTCCAGACTGTTAACATGTTTCTGGGAACTTTCAGAAGTTGTTGTTAGTGCCTTTCGAATCTATTGCAACTCATCGTGATCCTGTGAACCTTGCCCTATTATGTGCCATTCTCACCATCTCCGGTATATTTATAGTCACCATGTTAATCCATCTTGTTGAGTGTCTTCTTCTGTTATGCTGACCCTCCACCTTTCCAAGCATGATGTCCTTTCTAGGGACTGGCCCTTCCTAATAATATACCCAGAATGTATGAGACAGTTTCACTATCCTTGCCCCCAAGGAGCACCCTGGTCACACTCCCTCCATTGTTTAGGCAGTTCATGTAGTCTTCCCCAAGACCATTACTCAAAAGGCATCGATTCTTCTGTCATCTTTAGTCATTGTCTGACTTTGAGATGCATAGAAAGTAATCGGAAAGACCTTGGTTTGGATCATGACAACAGATTTTCCCAATCTGTTAGGTCTTTCGATTTCTTGACAAAGAGTATTGATTATGGAGCTAAGAGGGAATTGTTGACAACTTCAATCTTTTCTCCATTTATCATAAGATTGCTTTTTGAAAAAGTAGATCCCTACAGTAATTTTTGATGACTTACAATGTATTTGTAGAGCACATCATTCACTTAAGTTGGGGTGCTCTTTTTTTTTTCAAGAGAATATGGAATTTATTAGACATTGAATTAAAAGAAAAACCATTTTAAAAAGCCTAAGCACCCAGTATTCCCAGGCAATCTCCAATCCAAGTACTGACCAGGCCCAACCGTTCTTAGCTTCTGAGATCAGACGAATTCAGGGTGGTATGGCTCTGGACTTAGCTAATTTTTTTTTTTAATGTATTAGATGATGATGATTAATTTTAATGAAAATTTATAGAGACTTTGGATTTCCATTCATTGTTGCGCTTTTCTCCCTGCCCAATCTTTTGAAGGATAACTTCAAATATTTGAACATTGGATGAAAAGAAATATGTCTTTTTCCTATGGGTATTATTAAGTAGAATATGAAATACTGCTCATGCTACATAACAAATTAAGTAAATAACAAGTGTTTACTTACCCAAATAATATTTTTTACTTATTTTTTTTGGAAAAGATATATCTTTGGCACTTTTATTTAAGTAAAAAATTACAGCCTTTCATACATACTACTCTGTTCTATAACAATAATTTCTGTACCCACAATGAATGTTTTCCTACTTCCTCCCTGTAATTCTGATTTCCATTAATCTTCCTGTGCTTGCCTCTTTCCTTTCTTTAGTGATATTGTATCCATCATGCCTTTATCTAAATAATGTTTTAGTGGATATTTCTTATTCATATTTGCAAGAGTATCTGTTTGAATCACTATCACATGAAGATGAAGATTAAATAATGTTTAAAATACACGTCTCCATCTGATACATAATATCAGTAAATGCTAACTACTATAATTACTGTTATTATTAATATGGTTATCTTTAATAGAAGTTACTGCTTTCTGTAGATTTTTTGTTTATTAAGTCTTCCAATGTCTTGAGTTACTACCTGAGTTGAAAACTTAAGTTGATGTGTTGAAAAGATGAACATGAATAATTTGATTATAATGACAAACATATCTTGGCCAAAATTTTCTTTTATCTTAATTATTCTCAGTTTTCAAACTCCTTGTGATAAGTCTACGGAAATCTTTCAAATCAGAACAACATAAATGCATGCAATACAAAGTAGGAAACTTTAAAAAAAATTACATAAATGCAGAATAAATGAAAATGTCAAATGTGTAAACGAAATGGGTGATAGTAATTAATATGAAATACATTTTTTAAAAAGAACAAAAACAGTAAGTTTATTAGTTCTTAAAGAAAGTGGTATTAAAAACAGTACTCATTTCACCACTAATCACTAACAGTGGTGTTTATATTTTCATTTTTTCCTTAAATTTCCATCAGGTTGATAGTGGCTGGGGCTGGAGTTAGAATTACGGTTGGAATTGAAGTTGGTACTTGAATGGGTCTGGGGCTGAAATTGGAACTGGGTTTGGAAATACAGAATTTTTATCTGAACTCTTATTTCTGATTAGAAGTTTTATTTTCTATGTTTTAAATTACTTTCTTCTATAGTTGAAGGTAACCAAGAACTTTGCTTTTGTTATTTTTACCTCTGAAAAGAGGAATTGTTTCTCAGTTTTTACAGGCCTGTCGGTCTACCAGCATGTATTCATCATGGAAACAGCTTGTGAAATAAATGCAGTAATTACTGATATTCTACATCATACACTTTTGAAGTACAAAGCATTGATATTTTGTAAATAAGACTCTATTGAAGTACATTTAGGAGACATGTGGGCAGAATATGAGTAATCACACCCATGATTTAGATATTCTATAGACGAGTGACTTTAGAAACCAGATTGTGTCTCATTTTATTGTTGATGAGACATGTCAAATTTAAAGAATAAGGTTAACTTTAGTTAGTATTGCTATGTAAAGCCTATGAGGAAAAGTCTCTATGCTATTTTTGAACTACTTCTATAGCCACACTCGGGTGATAGAGCAACTCTAAGATTATTTTACCAGTGTTCTTTCAAGTACTTAATTTAAGAGAATTCCCACTGTTAATGATTGTGATTCACAGCAACCCTCTATTACCATTCCAAGGCTGTACATCTTTATGGTAGGACACTGCTTATCTTTCCTCTGCAGAGTACCTGGTGGCTTCACACCACTGACCTTTTCAGTTAACATCCCCTCTATGTTATGCACTACCCTACCAGGACTTCATGAATGAATGGAATAAATAACATAGGAACATGCCAAACACATACTGGAATTTTTATTAAGAGCTTTTTCTTTAAGCAGCGTATATGCGCATATGTATGTATAGTGTATACACACATATATAATTTTTTTTTCTCTTGCTTGATTGTTGAGATAACTAATTTTTAATACAGATAATTTGGAAAATACTGTTTCTTTCTAGCCATGTTAATATTTCGTTACATGCTAAGCCAAATTTTAAACATTTATATAGATATATTTAAACATATATGTGTATATTTTACTGTGAACATGCTTTATATATAGTTTCTTAACAATCATAGACTATGAACCGTTTTCAAACAATTTAACATAAAGATAATTTCTAATGACTGTTCTCTTTTCCTGATTATAGGATAGTGTGAAGTGATTAATGAAATAATCATTAGTTGAGCACTTTAGTTGTTCAGTCCATGTTAAGAACAATACTGTATTCTTACTATACTATGTTCTTATATTTATTCTAAGTACCATTATCAGCTCTTCTTATTCCTTGGCTTAATACTGCACCATCTCCTTTCCTTGGGTATTGAACTCTGTTTTGGTGAAGGTTTTGTGAAATCTTTAGATATGAGTGTTACTCAAAAGTCAGGAGGAAATCAGGAAATTTCAAGAGTGTTCAAGTTTCCTCCCTTTACTAAATCTTCTTGCCTGGTATCTTTTATCCTCTTTGCTACTTGATTTAAGCTGGTAAAGCTTATTTGGACAGTGTGCCTTTGAGATTGCAGCACAGCTTCTTGGTATTTGGCCACCAGGGCTCCCTTTTGTAATGGAATTACCACAGAATTCGCATGTGAAACAGTTAGGAATTTAGCTTTCTATTATCCTTAGACTATCCGATATTCAAGTTATCCCAGAGTGAATGGTGGTAGATTCCTGAGTATGGCTATCTTCAGGTTACTGAGTATTGGCTAGCAGTGGTGCTCATTAAAATAACACACCAGCACAATATAATGCTCATAGCAAACTTCAGAAAATATTGTATGAGAGTATTTTGTGGTTCACAGAAAACAATGCACATATTATTTGTGTGAAAATAGACTTGGTAAGTTGATTTTCTTGTTTTCAAAATCAGTCTTAATAATAGACATGGTAGACCCAATAGCGTTTGTAAAGCCATGCCATCTTGTGATAATCATTTTGTTTTGCAGCTATTTTGACTCTTTTCTCTGTTATTAATGTGTGCATTGCCGTTGCTGAATCTCTGCATATCACCTCTTTTTAAAAGTAAAAGGTGATCTAAAATAATCTCAACTGTGTTTCTCCTTTCTCAGGATTCCTACAGGAAACAAGTAGTAATTGATGGAGAAACCTGTCTTTTGGATATTCTCGACACAGCAGGTCAAGAGGAATACAGTGCAATGAGGGACCAATACATGAGGACTGGGGAGGGCTTTCTTTGTGTATTTGCCATAAATAATACTAAATCATTTGAAGATATTCACCATTATAGGTGGGTTTAAATCAAGTGAGCCAATTATGACACGATCCAAAACTGAAAAAAATGTTGACGCTGGAAGTTGATTTTTTTTTTTTAACTTCTAAATAGAACATATTCAGAATTAAAAAACTTTGGTAATTTCTGAGTATGACAAACTCCCAGTAGTTATGTTAGAAGTAAATGTCTTAATAAGCTGTAAAAACAGCCATGTATCCATGATTGTTGTTATTGTATACATAGAGTTGAAACTGACCCATTACAGACCCTCTGGCAGGTTTTCAGAGGCAGTATTTGCATGGGTAGAAAGGATATTTAATTATACCAGAATTGGCTTTAGTACAAAAATAAAACAAAACCCCTTTTCATTCTCTAATACCAAATCTTTCAAATATTCAAACTCACTGTTGAGATTATCTAGGGTTAGTTAGGGTCTAGTAATGGATACTTTGAGAAAGAACCTAGAACTGGTTAATATTTTGGCAGTATGCTCTGTAATATAAAAGTTAACTTATTTTGAGATTAGGGTAGCAGTGGGGTGGTGTAAAACAGAATATGAAGTATTGCAAAGATTGTGACTTAAGTTAGAAAATAAATGGGATTGGGGCAGGTACGCATTTTTTAAATGAAAGGTTATCATTTCTCCATACTTGACAGTTTTTACACTGTAATACAGATTGTATGAGGATTTTCTGTCAACCAGTTAATAGTATTTATATTTCTTAACTGAACATTTGATTACAGGAAGGAGTCTGAATTGTATACATCTATTTATTTAATCTTCCAAATAAAGATTGGAGCCATTACTACACCTTCTAGATGAGGACATGAAGACAAAAAGTATTTAAGTAATTTGGTGAAGATCACACAAGAAGAGATAGAATCTGAATTCATATCCAGACTACCTGGTTGCAGTAACCTCTACCATCAAATCTTTGTAAAGCTGAAGATTCAGAAATGTTCTATATTTTATTCCAGAAAAGGATATAAGACTATTTTAAAAATACATATAATTTGAAAAATGTAACACAAAGTAGAAGGAAAGATGAGGCCAACCAAAGATAAACAACCTGAAAAATGAAGTTTGGAGTACGATAAGTAAAAATAGATCTGTCGTGTAAATCTTAAAGACCTACTAATTTTAGAGTTAACCACGCTAAAATGGCAACAATTAAAAAGATTTTACAAAACTGGCAATTTCAAATGATATGATGATTCAAATCAATCAATAGGATACATAGAAGAGAATTTAAGACCTTTTCTAGCTTTAGAGGTTTAATTGTTAACACAGCTATTTAGGTCTTCATTGGTCTGGTCAGTTTTCTACCCTGCTAGACATTATCTAAGAAGAGCATGCAATGTGATGTGCAGCATTTAAATTTAAAAACATTCATTGAATTTTTATTATTAATGAAATCTAAATAAAAATTACACCAAAGAGAAAAATAGAACACTTCCCTTGTTAAAGTTGTTCATTCATTTCTCCTAATACATGGGACTTTTTCAACCTTCAAAGAGATAATATTAGTTAAAATATAAACAGAGCAACACTACTTTTACAGAAATCAAGTACTATAAGGTGTTTTATAGCACTGTGTCAGGTAATGGATTATGTAGACTAAATTGACATCATAGAGTAATTTTAGCTTCCATTTATTGAGTCAGCTAAGCACTATGAATATGTTACATAATTAAAAGTTTTAAATAATTTTGTAAGAAAAGTAATATCCCCTATTTACAAATTAATTTCAGGGAGATTAGCATAATTTATCTCAGACTGCATAGATAATAGTGAGGCTGGGATTAAAATTTAGACTTTTTTGACTCCAAAACATTTGTGCTTTTGACACCATTAGAAAAAGAGACTTTTACTTTTTAAATGTTGATCATAAAAATGAATACTATGAACAAAAATAAGGTGATTTTTTTTTTCAGATAGTACGAGTGAAATGATGGCTTGACACAGTGACTATAGCAATGAGTTACATATCAGAGATTGTAAGGATTTTTTAGGTTAGGGCAGAGTTCAGAACTGTTGTGCATATGGTCACTTTGACATGGTGACACCTAACAACACCACTCAGGTAGTCTAAATCAAGTACATTTTGGGTAGAAATTTGTTGGACTTGGGCAAAGATCAGCCCTAGATTTAAAATAACTCTGAAGTTTAAAACACTGAAGAATTGGAGCAATTTCTTATTTTCTGAGACTGCAGAAAACTGCTTTTAACTCAACTCATCCCATCTCACATGTATGGAATTTATTTAGACTCATAGTTAGTTATCTTCCATTGGGTTCTCAAGACAGTAAATCAACATATGACTACTTACTTCCTTGGGCAAAGCTGCTCATGAATTTTAACTGCAAGAGACAAAACCTTTGGTTATGACATAACCTTTTGTTAGCAGTATAGCATCCTTTAGACTAGCTCCCAGAGTTCACTTTTAATTAGTAATTTTGTATGTATGACATATACTTTTCATAAAACTCTGTAGTAAGCAAATGACCCACTCACTGATTATTTTATGTAGCAATGAGTTGCCTTCATTAATAGATTTTAAATTGTACCTAAGTAATATTTACAGGTAAATAGAAAAAGAAATTTGGGTATGTGGTAGTATTTTAAAGATATGTACTATCCCTGTTATGGTTAATAGATACAGTAGCTGGGAATTTGAAAACTCTTCCTTCTCTGTATCATTAAATTCACCTAAAATTGTGAAGGAATGTAATGCCCATCATAGATTTTATGCATAGTTTTAAATATTGTTATTATTTATTGTAATTGAGTTGAGCATGACTCATAGCACCCGTATGAACAAAAGGTCTGAAGCCTTTCTATAATTATTGTTGTTTCTCCAAGTTCATAGTTTCCAGAGGCCTATGGTTTAGAAAGTGGATGCTACTCCTGTTTCCAAACTTGTCTTAAACTGGGAGCTCCATCAACACTGTCCACCATACTCTTCCAAGATAGCAGCACATAGAACAACTTTTAAACAGAACAGTAGCAAAAGGGGTTCAATTATGCCCATGTAGAAATGAAAATATTTCTACTTGGCATTTTTTCTTTTTAGACAAATTTGATAAAGGAATGAAAATTATGTTATTTAGATTTTTATAAAAAGTACCTCTGCATTAACAAAAAATAGAAGATATGTCACTAAGATGGTATTTTTAAAATTACTCCTAGAATATTTTTCAATCTGAAATTTTAACTTATTTTGTTTTTATCATTGTTCTATAAGTATATAAAACTATTGTAGTTTTACTAAGTATTAGATCTTTATAGGACTATATATATAAGGCTGTCTTTAAGGTAGAGGAAAAATATAGTCAGAATTATAAGGGAAACAAAGGAAATTTGGTATGGTAGAAACTAGGAATTATATGAAACAATTTTATTGCATCTAAAATTCTATTAAACAAAATTTTAGACAGTTTTGGAAAGATTTTTGAGTTACTAATGTCACTCTTTGTTTTGTTTATTTTTCCTTCCTTAGAGAACAAATAAAACGAGTTAAAGACTCTGAAGATGTACCTATGGTCTTAGTAGGAAATAAATGTGATTTGCCTTCTAGAACAGTAGATACAAAACAGGCTCAGGACTTAGCAAGAAGTTATGGAATTCCTTTTATTGAAACATCAGCAAAGACAAGACAGGTAAGTAAAAACTGTAGCAAATATAAATGTATTTATTAAAAATTTATTTTAATCAACATGGAAGATATAAACCGAATCAATGTACCAAAAAGAACTGGTGAACAATGAAACATTAAGGAAGTAGCATAAAAATTTATTTTAATCATTAATCAGACTAAAATATTTATATATTTAATAGCATTACAAAATCAGGAGGGCAAAAACATTAATAAATGTACATACCTTACAGTGTAATTATAGATTTAAGGTGATTTGTCAGATTTTCTCTTGATTATGGAAAAAGGGGAGTAATATTTATTTGATAAGTGCTTTATTAAAAGAATTGAGAAGGTAGCAGTAATTCATCGAATGTGATTATACCTTTGGATTAAGAGTATTTCCATATTGAAAATTTGTCTTCAGATCTTAACATCTTACATCCAGAATTCAGGAATTGTTGGGAGCTTTTCAGTGTTTTTTATATAAAAGCAACATAGCTAGACACAAACGTTCAGGTTTCTTATTTTAGAAGTACTTGTAAGACCATTATGTCATATATTCTTAGGTTTAATTCTTTTGTATTGGAAGATTTTACTTTCGCATAATCTTTTTTTAATCTTGTTTTTAAAGGAAGTTTTCATTAAAGTAAATAAATAGTTAAGATTGTAAATACAAATATTCAGTTACTCATTTACTTAATTGTTCTAAAAATGGAATGCCAAATGGACTCCGAGTTTTGTTTAAAAAATTAGTAACTTCATTATAAAAATGTTTTTACTAGATGAAAATAACAATTTCAGTTGGTTTTATTGTAACCTATTTAATGTACAGAAGACATAAATAAGAATGTATGTATGTGTGTGTGTTTAGGGACCCATGATGGCCTACTGGTAAGAAGCAGTGCTGCAATCCCAGACACGTAGTTCAAATCCACCAGTTGCCCTGTGGGAGAAGGATGGGCTATTTTATCCTGTACGATTTACTGCTTTTGAAAGCCCACTGGACAGCACATACCTACAACGTACATGATAGAATAAAGTTTTCTTTGATTAATTTATATTCCAAAGAAAGTAAACTTTTATTTTGGGGTATTTTGGTTACATGTACTTGCAAGCCCAGAAAAATCGATTTTGTGTTTAAAAAAAAAATCAGTGAATATACTATATAGTTAAATGTATAAAAGTGAGTATTCTGGAACTACTATTATAAGAATTTTGTTAGAAAGTAAAGATTTATACACACACACACACGTACATAAATACTTTTTTTTTCTCACATAGAAGTACGTATTTCTAGATGTATGAACTTGTACACAGTGGAAATAAAATTCTGTTTTAAGTGTTTGGGAATTAAAAAAAAATAAGACTTAACATTTGATAATTAGTTTTTAAATATATATAATTGTTGTTGATTGCCTTCAAGTCAAGCACAACTCTCAGTGACCCTATGAACAAAAGGCCTGAGGCCCGTCTACAACTATCAACATTTAATCAAAGTTCAGAGAGTTTCCAGAGGTGTGTTGTTTAGGAAGTGGATGCCATTCCTGCTTCCAAAATAACAGCACTGCTTTATTATTCATGGTAGTTTTACCAACACCTAATTTGAAAGCTTTGGTGGCCTAATGGTAAGAAACTGCACTGCAGTCCCAAAGGCATGTAGTTTGAATCCACCAACTGCTCCACAAGAGAAGGATGAGCAGTCTCCTATTTGATTTACTTACTGCCTCTGAAATCTTGCTGAAGGGTCAGCTCTGAATCAGTTCTGACTTGATGGCACACAACAGTAACTTATAATTAGGAAGCTCTGGTGCTATGGTCCATAGCGATGTACCAAACCAAAAGACATAGGTCAGGCGTTAAGAATCCACCAGGATCAGCATCTCCACACAAGAGAGGTGGGCAGTCTCCTCTCATGCAGGGGTCAGCTGTAAGTAGGTTCTGATGCCACAGCAGAAAGGTTGAGTTTGGGAATTTTTAAAATATAACTAAAGAAAAACTTGCTATGCATCCCATCACTTTACTTTAGAAGCATTAAAGATTTCATTCATTTCCATTACTAAGTCCCAAAGACTAAGAAAAGGAGTATTTCACTCTTCTCTTCTGACCAGTATTCTGATTTTTCCAAGAAGTGGTGCTCAGAAGTCATGATTTTTTTTATATAATTTATTACAAACTTAATATTTTCTTATTAAATTATAAAACTAAAAATTTACAGTTCCTACCTATATTGTACTATTAAAGTTGTCTTGTACTTGCTGGATTTATAGCTTTTGAAAGATACTTTCTTAGGCTGGTGACATAGTTTTTGCTTCACAAAATCTTAAGCAATGTTTTTCATTAATGTCTATATATGAATTTACTGGATAATTTAATTTTAGTTAAAATCCTGATTCTGACTCAGTAAGTATATGTTAGAACCTGAAACTGGCTTTTTCCACAAAATTGCAAGTGATGCTAATTTGGAAGCATAGACCTCGTTGAAAAGAAAAGTAATTGTAGGGTATATGACATCAGTTTTCAGTTCATGCCAGTTGCATGTGATAGAATGTTTTCATAATGTTTTAGATAGAAGGTTTAGATAGAATGTTCTCATAATGTTTTCTAGGCTGTAATCTTTATGAAGTTAGAATGCCAGGTCTTTCTCCCATGGAACCTGCTGGGTAGGTTATAACCTTTTGGTTAGCAGCTGAACTCTTAACTGTTCTATCACCAGAGCTCAATCAAACACCACCACCATCTCATCAGTTCCAGCCATATTCATCCTAGGACAGAATAGAACTGCCACATAGTTTGCAAGGTAGAGAATATTTATAGAAACTGATGGCCCCATCTTTGAACTGATAACTTTTGAGTTAGCATTCAAGCTCTTCAACTGTTGCATCACCAGGGCTCCTTAGAGTTCAGTGTCATCAACTTGATTCTGATTCATAGCAAGCTTCTCTGTTAGATTTCAGAGGCTGCAAATCTTAATAGGAGGATACTCCCCACAGAGTGGCTGGTAGAGTCAAACTGCCAAACTTATGATTAGAAGCTTGGCACGTTACACACTGTGCTACTTAAACTTTGTTAGGGCTAAGCCACTCACTCATTGTCTTCAAATTGGAACTAACTTATAGTTGATCCTCCTTTGGGTTTTCAAGGCTAAATTGCACAGAAGAGAGTGCCTGTTTTTCTCTTGATGATCCACTTGTGGGTCCCTATCTCCAGAGAGGCATATCCTTTGGGTTTACTCCCTACAGACTATGCCACCAGAGCTCCTTTCAGGCATCATCCAAAACCAGAGCTCAAACTTACTGCCACGATGTTGGAACTGACTCAGCATATCATCCAGTGGGTTTTCAGGTGCTGTAAATTCAAACTGCCTGCCATGGGATTGGCAGGGCAGCTCCTTAACCACTAGGCCACCAGACATCCCTTTAGCATTTAAGAGAAATAGATAAAACTAGTCCCCTTACTCCTTCAGCATAGCCCTCCATTCTCCTTTACTAAAAGCCTAAAATAGCTTTGTGTTCTCTTCTTGCATGGTTATGGTTACTACATTGTAAGTACTAATTCTTTGTATTAGACACTAATGTTTTCATATACCACAGGATGCATAATTAAACAGTAAACCACCTGGCTTCCTCTTAAAGTAGATTTTAGGTTTCATGTTTTGTGGCCTTGTTTGTTTTGAAAGTATGTGGAAGATTTTATATGGAAATTGATTAAAGAAATTTACTTTGTAGACATTTAGTGACTCATCTAATCAAAATACAGAAGACTATCAAAGAATGTCATTTCAAACCTTCTTGCACTCAACTTGATGATCTTGATATAGAAGTCTATATAATTTATGTTGCTTAAATTTGAATTTCAGATCTTTTTCTTTCTTTATATTACTAAATAATCCTGATGATTTGCTTAGAAATGAATTTGCCTTCAAAAGTTAATTTCTCTTTGTTGAAGTTAATTTGGTATTTGCATGCTTTTGGAAGACTTTAAAGAGCTACTCCAAGTAATTGTATATATTATAAAATTGTAGAGATAAAAATGTTTTATATTCAGATTCCAGGAATAAAATTTGAAACCTTTCTTTCTATACATTATTCTATTTGCTGCTCTCTGTTGGAACTGTTCTTTGATGTGGAGTTGGAACCTACTTGTAGCTGACCCTCCAGTGGGTTTTCAGAACAGTTAATCTTGTGAGAGGATATTGTCCATCTTTCTTCCTCAGAGGAGCTGGTGTCTGCCTTTGGGTAGCAACACACCTCTTTATCTTATATTATTAGCTTCTAAAAAAAATTGTTACTTGAGCAAAATGAAAAATAACTTTGTTGTATTTTATGAATCAGCTCTACTTGTGTCATGGTCTCATGCCTTGATTTTGATCTTCATTATTAACCTAAAACACAAATACAAGCAGTTACAGTCAGGTTAGTAGGAAGAGAACATTCATTTAGAAGTTCTCATAGATGTTAGGCGGGCAAACATTTCTGTAAAGGACCAGGTAGTAAATCTTTTTAGTCTTTGTAGATACATGTGGTGTGTGTTACATATTCTTGGTTGGATTTTTTTGTTTGTGATACCTCTCCTCCCATTCCCCCACCAAATCTTTAAAAATTTAAGAGTCTTTATTAGCTTGTGGACAGTGCAGAAATAGGTTGTGGTTGCATTCAGCCTTTGAGCTGTAGTATGCCAACCCTTAATTCCCAACGGAACTTTATAGAACTTGATTTTAATATAAACAGTAGCAATTAAAGCAGAATTTTTACCTACATTTATAAGCTAATGAATGTTGTGTACTGTCGAGTTGGAACCTACTCATATCTGACCATCCAGCAGAGATGATAAATCACACGTGAGGAGATTTCCTATCATTCTCCCATAAAGCAGCTGGTAGATTCATACCTCATACCTTTGCATTGGCAGTGCAGTTCCTCACCACTAAGCCACCAAATAGTATTCTGTCAAAGGGAAAGGAATTGTACTCTTACACTTTTTAAGATCAAGATTGAAGAATACATGTTTTACTTGCTTGATTAC